ATAAACCACTTCTTCTTCTACTATATCTCTGTGTATAAACCACTTCTTCTTCTACTATATCTCTGTGTATAAACCACTTCTTCTTCTACTATATCTCCGTGTATAAACCACTTCTTCTTCTACTATATCTCTGTGTATAAACCGCTTCTTCTTCTACTATATCTCCGTGTATAAACCACTTCTTCTTCTACTATATCTCCGTGTATAAACCGCTTCTTCTTCTACTATATCTCTGTGTATAAACCACTTCTTCTTCTACTATATCTCCGTGTATAAACCACTTCTTCTTCTACTATATCTCTGTGTATAAACCACTTCTTCTTCTACTATATCTTGGTGTATAAACCACTTCTTCTTCTACTATATCTCCGTGTATAAACCACTTCTTCTTCTACTATATCTCCGTGTATAAACCACTTCTTCTTCTACTATATCTCTGTGTATAAACCACTTCTTCTTCTACTATATCTCCGTGTATAAACCGCTTCTTCTACTACTATATCTCTGTGTATAAACCACTTCTTCTTCTACTATATCTCCGTGTATAAACCACTTCTTCTTCTACTATATCTCTGTGTATAAACCACTTCTTCTTACTATATCTCCGTGTATAAACCACTTCTTCTTCTACTATATCTCTGTGTATAAACCACTTCTTCTTCTACTATATCTTGGTGTATAAACCACTTCTTCTTCTACTATATCTCCGTGTATAAACCACTTCTTCTTCTACTATATCTCCGTGTATAAACCACTTCTTCTTCTACTATATCTCCGTGTATAAACCACTTCTTCTTCTACTATATCTCCGTGTATAAACCTGGCAGACTGCTCCGCCAGGATACGTCACGTCCTGTCTCACGTTTGTTACTCGCCACTGCCCTGACGTCATTTGAAATCCTAGAATACGTTGTGGTCATGTGACATCACAGTAAGAGAACCACGTTGTATTGGCTCCTGCCCTGAACATGAACAGAATAGATGGATCAGTGCAGTCTGAGCCTAGACACAGACACATGTAGTTTCATGGATTATATCACGTCCGATTTCTCAGATTTTTCAGGAAGTGATTGAAGTGAGTTGGTTTAAACCGTGGGATCGAAAGCGGCTCGACCTGACGCTCTATTTCATCTTTGCGCTGAGACTGTTTCAGACTCGAGGTTAAACACGGGGCAGAGCTCTCAGAAGCTCCGTCTTAAAGAATCAAAAGGCTACGACTGCTTCTTAAAGCCTCATCTGGTCATATCAGAACCTTAGCAGTGCGGGGCCTGGTTAGTACTGTGATGGGAGACCCCAGGATACCGGGGCAGCTGTGATTTAATGTAGTATTTTACCATCAGCAGCAAATTACACAGTTCAACTATGAATTAATTATAAACTGAAAAGAGCTTTGTCAGGAAATGCACTGTCAAAATGTCATGCTAGTAAGTAATGTTTATTTATATAGCGCCTTTCACAGACCAGAGTCACACATGCTAGCTTTTTATCAACAAATCAATGTAGAAATCTTTGCCAAATGATGTAGTTTCTTTGCAGTATCATGATTGGCAGATACGTATTGTGTGGTCTTCTGTGGCTCGGGAGCTACCAGTAGCTTTCAGGTAGCTCCCCCAAAGATACAAAAATGTGTTTGTAATCCTACGCTTGTTTTTCACGGCACTGCCCTGACGTCATATGACACCCAAGAATAATGACTCCTGATGTGATCCACCAAATGATTGAGGAAACCATTAAAGAGTTAATCCTTGTTCAAACATGCTTTATGTTTTTGAGTCTTGTCTTTAAGTTTGTATTTGAGTCCATTGCTGTGTATCCTCCTACATGACACCATTGACTTCAGCGGACCAAAAGGTCAAGACGACTTTGTTACTGAAGTTTGGAAATCCATTATTGTGTTTGAGTGGATCGTAAAATGAAGGCGTAAAGTGAACACACAAAGGTGAATGTCTCGTCTCCTGTGAGTCTGAAGGTGCTGAGCTCTCGCCCCCGACCGTGACCTGATCCAAGACCCCCGCACAAGGCCAAGTTCCCAGGGGATTATCGCTGCTGCTTCCTTATCATTATAGCGTTAGCCTAGCCTCATTATGCAGCAATTAGCTTTGTTGCCTCCCAAAGTAGTGGACACTGATGATCCTCTGCTGTTTTCAAGTGTGGCTCTCTGTAATTGGTGTCAAAGAAGTTGCTTGACCTCAGCCTCGTTACGACTGCAGCTCTGTGTTAGTGCTGATTATTCACTTCTGTATTGTTTGTTTCTGCTGCATTCAAGGGTCATGGTCATTATAAAAACAGATGATCGTACACGCAGTGAGGAAGTAAGAAGAGTAGAAATTAGCACACTGAGAGCTTACATCTTCCTTATAGAAGAAGTGTGTAAACATGTGGACAAAAGTGGTACTGCAGCCTCTCCCACTCTCCCTGACTCAGGTTGCCAGATATGCAGACGAATCCAGCTGGGACCATAACAGCTGAATAGACAAGAGTTTTGTCAACAACAAATCTATAACCAACACCTTTTTCACAAAGATAGAAATCCTGGTTTTATTCCGTTTTTAGTTCTGCGCCACATGGTACTTTACCAGTGAGATTAGCTCCACACGCTGAGTTCTGGCGCCCGGATCACAGACTTTCTGATTGGTGAAACGGTGGAGGGCGGGACATCGAGATGAAAACAATAACAAGATTTAGAGGCTGGAAAAGTCATTTAGAAATTCAAATATCTCTGAACTACTGTTTTCAGTTAAAGAAGGATTGGAAAAGAGCAGTTTATTATTATGACAGATTAGGGCCCTTTACTGACGACAGATTAGGGCCCTTTAATTATGACAGATTAGGGCCCTTTAATTATCACAGATTAGGGCCCTTTAATTATGACTTGACATGAAAATCTTACATATTGCTACTTTTAGATGTTTTTATCATAAATACCAAGTATTTGTTTCCAAGCTCAGAATACTAATAACTAGAAGAGCTGTCGTAGAGCACAGACCTCTGCCTCGAGGCGCAGTCTCTAATCTCCAACATCGATTCCTGAATTTTGTCCAATTCCTCGCTTCAGTTTTTGAGCCATGTTTCTCACAAACAGACAAATGCTGGTGATCACTTCACCTCATGGGCGTCGGTAATAAACATGAAAGGACATGTTATTTTTAATGTTTTTCACGGTTTAAATTTAAATGTGTACAAGACTTTTAAGGTAATTAAATCAGTTTAATTAGATATCAGATATTTTTAAATGCTCAGGTTTTATGAAACACATTTCTATTCATTTGAAGTCATTGAGAAAACTGAATAGAGAAAAATATTTTACATCTGAGGAATATTTATTATCTGTGGATTTATTTCCTGTTAATTCCAGGATATAAATGTGTCCCTTTAGTGTTGTCATTAAGGCAAATGTGACGTAGAATAATCCATTAATATAAAGTCATTATTAGTGCAGCTTTATGTCCGTCTGCCAAACGGCCGCACAACAACCGCACAACAATCGCACAACGACCGCACACTCGTGGTAAAGAAGGGTCTGAAACAGATGCTTCTCTCCTCCAGACACTGCGGGTTTTTACTTTAATGATGCAGAGTTTTCTCACTCAACTCTAATTAAAAGTTCAAATTAAACAGGGACGGTTTTCTTTTTAATTTTGTTATGTTAATGTTATGGTTGTTTTATTATGAAATATGTAAAGTATATATGGAGTGTATATACAGTATGGAGTATGTATATAGAGTATGTATTGTGACTTCTCACGGATATTTCTGATTGGTTAGTTATGAGCTGCACTGTAGCGCAGTGGTTAGCACTTGTGCCTCACGACAAGAATGTCGTGAGGCATGTCCTGGGTTTGATTTATGTTTACAGGACATGTGTGCAGCTTGTTTTAGTTTCTGAGTCTTTGCTTTCATGGAATAGAAAACCAATGTGGTTTATGGTTCATCTACTGCTGGTTGTTGTTTTTGCGAAGGACTTAACTTCATTTCCAACGTGATTATTTTAAACTGAAACTGATATGTCTGAGACGAGCTGCTGTAGCCAGAGGTCCATGTGTTCTGTGTGTAGCTGCAGATGTTTGGACTAGCACCTATACGCGCACACACACACACACACACAAGCTACGCACACACACACACACAAGCCACGCACACACACACACACATACAAGCTACGCACACAGACACACACAAGCTACGCACTCACACACACAAATGGAGGTGCTGTTACTCCAAATAAGACTGTAAATGTTTGTATTTATAAACATGAAAATACTCTGGTTGCGTCGCTTCTGTCAGTGTGCCCCAGGGCAGCTGTGGCTACAGTAGGAGTTTATCACCACCGTGTTTGGAGAGAATGAAGTATGATGTGAAGAGACTTTGAGAGTCCAAAAAAAGCTTTATATAAAACCAATGCATTGTTTATTTTATTTTATTATTATTATATATGTTATTACCTTTTTACCTCTTGACTGTAGTTTATTGATAATGGGTTTTGATATTTAGTTGGTGATCAGGTGAACGGTCAGAGGTTAACTGCTGGGTAACGGTCTGGGGCCGGTCTTGGGGGCTTCTATCTTAGTATCTGCACGGCTGAGGGCTCACGCACTGTCCTAGTTTGTCCACTGGGTGGCAGTTTAGAGTGGCGTCTCTCAATTAGGCTGCACCTGTGTTGGGCTTAAGAGGGGCATGTGCACACCTGTGGGATTAGGCATCATGGCAGGGTGAGCACGGGCTGCTACTTTCTGTTGACCGTAAGCAACATTCTCTACTACTACTACTACTACTACTACTACTACTACTACTACTACTACTACTACTACTACTACTACTACTACTACTACTACTACTACTACTACTACTACTACTACGTCGTCGTCGTCGTCGTCGTCGTCGTCGTCGTCGTCGTCGTCGTCGTAAGCAACATTCTCTACTACTACTACTACTACTACTACTACTACTACTACTACTACTACTACTACTACTACTACTACTACTACTACTACTACTACTACGTCGTCGTCGTCGTCGTCGTCGTCGTCGTCGTCGTCGTCGTCGTCGTCGTCGTCGTCGTCGTCGTCGTCGTCGTCGTCGTCGTCGTCGTCGTCGTCGTCGTCATCGTCATCGTCATCGTCGTAAGCAACATTCTCTACTACTACTTCATCATCGTCGTCGTCGTCGTCGTCATCATCATCCAAAGGGCAACTGAGTCAACTCCACAAAACATCAAGTAAGTCCCTATCTGCATACGAATGAATCTACGCGTCAGCAACATAGCCCGTGTCTTAGCCTGCCGCGGCGTATTGCCTCAGTTTGGACATTTTACGCCGCAATAGGCTGGTCAGGGGGCTGGTCTGGGGGCTGGTCTAGGGGCCGGTCTAGGGGCTGGTCTGGGGGCTGGTCTAGGGGCCGGTCTAGGGGCTGGTCTGGGGGCCGGTCTGGGGGCTGGTCTGGGGGCTGGTCTGGGGGCTGGTCTGGGGGCCGGTCTGGGGGCTGGTCTGGGGGCTGGTCAGGGGGCTGGTCTGGGGGCCGGTCTGGGGGCTGGTCTAGGGGCCGGTCTAGGGGCTGGTCTGGGGGCTGGTCTGGGGGCTGGTCTGGGGGCCGGTCTGGGGCTGGTCTGGGGCGGTCTGGGGGCTGGTCTGGGGGCCGGTCTAGGGGCTGGTCTGGGGCTGGTCTGGGGCCGGTCAGGGGGCCGGTCTGGGGGCCGGTCTAGGGGCTGGTCTGGGGGCTGGTCTGGGGCCGGTCTAGGGGCTGGTCTGGGGGCCGGTCTGGGGGCCGTCTGGGGGCTGGTCTGGGGCTGGTCTGGGGGCCGGTCTGGGGGCCGGTCTAGGGGCTGGTCTGGGGGCTGGTCTGGGGGGGTCTGGGGCTGGTCTGGGGCTGGTCTGGGGGGTCAGGGGCTGGTCTGGGGGCCGGTCTGGGGCTGGTCTGGGGCGCTGGTCTGGGGGTCCCGGTCTAGGGGCTGGTCTGGGGGCTGGTCTGGGGGCCGGTCTGGGGGGTCTGGGGGCTGGGGCGGTCTGGGGGCCGGTCTGGGGGCTGGTCTGGGGGCCGGTCAGGGGGCTGGTCTGGGGGCCGGTCTGGGGGCTGGTCTGGGGGCCGGTCTAGGGGCCGGTCTAGGGGCCGGTCTAGGGGCTGGTCTGGGGGCCGGTCAGGGGGCTGGTCTGGGGGCCGGTCTGGGGGCTGGTCTGGGGGCCGGTCTGGGGGCTGGTCTGGGGCTGGTCTAGGGGCCGGTCGGGGGCTGGTCTGGGGGCCGGTCTGGGGGCTGGTCTGGGGGCTGGTCTGGGGGCTGGTCTGGGGGCCGGTCTAGGGGCCGGTCTAGGGGCCGGTCTGGGGGGTCTAGGGGCTGGTCTGGGGGCCGGTCAGGGGCTGGTCTGGGGGCTGGTCTGGGGGGTCTGGGGCCGGTCTGGGGGCCGGTCTGGGGCTGGTCTGGGGGCCGGTCTGGGGGCTGGTCGGGGGCCGGTCTAGGGGCTGGTCTGGGGGCTGGTCTGGGGGCTGGTCTGGGGGCTGGTCTGGGGGCCGGTCTAGGGGCCGGTCTAGGGGCCGGTCTGGGGGCCGGTCTGGGGGCTGGTCTGGGGGCCGGTCTGGGGGCCGGTCAGGGGGCGGTCTGGGGGCCGGTCTGGGGGCTGGTCTGGGGGCCGGTCAGGGGGCTGGTCTGGGGGCCGGTCGGGTGGTGGGGCGGTCTGGTGGTCGGGGCCGGTCTAGGGGCTGGTCTGGGGGCCGGTCTAGGGGCCGGTCTAGGGGCTGGTCAGGGGCGGTCTAGGGGCCGGTCTGGGGGCTGGTCTGGGCGGTCTGGGCCGGGGGGGCGGTCTGGGGCTGGTCTGGGGGCGGTCTGGGGGCTGGTCTGGGGGCCGGTCTAGGGGCTGGTCTGGGGGCTGGGGGCGTCTGGGGGCCGGTCTGGGGGCTGGTCTGGGGGCCGGTCTGGGGGGCTGGCCGGTCAGGGGCCGGTCTGGGGGCCGGTCTGGGGGCCGGTCTGGGGGGGCGGTCTAGGGGCTGGTCTGGGGCCGGTCTGGGGGCTGGTCTGGGGGCTGGTCTGGGGGCTGGTCTGGGGGCGGTCTGGGGGCTGGTCTGGGGGCCGGTCTGGGGCTGGTCTGGGGGCTGGTCTGGGGGCCGGTCTAGGGGCCGGTCGCTAGGGGCTGGTCTGGGGGCTGGTCTGGGGGCTGGTCTGGGGGCCGGTCTGGGGCCGGTCTGGGGCCGGTCTGGGGCCGGTCTGGGGGCCGGTCTGGGGGCCGGTCTGGGGGCCGGTCTGGGGCCGGTCTGGGGCGGTCTGGGGGCTGGTCTGGGGGCTGGTCTGGGGGCGGTCTGGGGGGGTCTGGGGCTGGTCTGGGGGCCGGTCTGGGGGCTGGTCTGGGGGCTGGTCTGGGGGCCGGTCTAGGGGCCGGTCTGGGGGCTCTCACCCTCTAACCCTCTCACTATTCCAAATACAAATGTACAGATGAAGCTCCACATGATGTCGTTCCATGAAACCGCTGCAGCCAAATGAGAGGCTTAAAGCTGATACGGATATAAAAATGTCATGTTGGTTGTGAAAAAGAATGGGCAAAAAATGGTTTTTAAAATGTCAAAAAGGAATAATGAAACCAGTTAGCGTTTGGGAAGAGTTTAACACTGAACTAGGAGCCTCTGAAAACAACCTGGTTATAATTGTTTTATTTCTTTATAAATTGGACAATTTTCTGCACTTTTTCCATAATGACTTCAGCCAAAGATACAAGCGTCGTTTTCTCTGTTTTCAACCGTTCTGCAGCAGAATGGAATCTTTTTATTAGTATGAAATTTATAGTCAACTCCTTCACACTTGTTTACAAAAAAGTCTTACCACACCATTGTACTCATTTCATTCTGTACTGAGGTCTGGATTGTCTCCATTGACTCCGTTAACAGGTGGGAGGGGCTAACTCCTTTTGCAGATTGAAACCATTGGATCTGAGTTTACTGTGACGTATGTAATGAGCCCGAGTGAGTGAGGCCTTTAGCATGTAGCCTAGCTTTAGCATTTAGCCTAGCTTTAGCATTAGCCTAGCTTTAGCCATCTCCTTTGCCGCTAACGGAGCCCGTGGGGAGTAAAGCCACAACATCTTTGCTTCAATGACATTTACTAAACATTCCTCTTGCTCCAGCTTCAGTTTCTTGATATTTGGATTGAACCAGAACAGATTATTTTACTATCGCATTCTCCGACAAACTACAACCAGCAAATTCAGCACAAACTCTTGACGTCACTGACACCGGCCTACAACACCCGCCTCCCCTCAGGTGTTTTTAAGAATCCATTGGAAAACAAAAAGGAAAAAGTCCGAGGCTCTGACTTAACAGAACCTTTATTGCTGTAGGAACATTGCGACGCGTTTTGACTCTTCTATGTAAGTAAAGTTTATTTTCACAGACCAGGAAGCGCTTCATAGTTAAAAACATACAGTAAATATAGAACACAAACAAGTCAGTTCCATAAAACTAAACTTCAGATGGGCCTGGGATGGTCTTAAGTTTCCTCGATGAAGAATAAATGATTTGTGTTTTTTTGTCAGAGTTTTCCACATTATTTTGACGTGTTTTAGTGGATTATGAAATTCTTCTTCTGGGGGTTGTGTGGGACCCACGGCTGTGATGAGTTGGCAGAAGACAAAGGCCATCCCCAAACTGCTGCACTGGCAACTTCCTGTCTGCCTCTGCACCAGGGTCGGACTGCTCTACTATGACAGAGATTCTTTGTTTTAGATTCATTCAGATTCATTTATTTCCCATTTTCAGTAAAACCACATTGGAATGCAATTGCAAAAGTCCCCAGTGTGCACCAGACAAGTACATAAAAAAACGTTAAAAGAATAGAAGTAAAACTAGTCACTGAGTGTGTTGTATAGACCCCTCCCTCAATTATTGAAACATCTCTTGGAGACCACCCTTTTTCACACATTTCATTATAAAAACTTTTTCTTAAACTTAAATCAGAATCATGGTGAAATAGTCATTATTATTAAAAATGCAGTGTGGTGTTTGCTGCGCACTCCCGAAGCTGCAATAATTTCATGTGTCCACTAGATGTCAGTGTTCGAACAATCTGGCAAAGAAAGCCGTGGTGTGTTACGGGGCTTCATCTGCCATTACTAGCTTTTTGCTGTGGTCTTGACTTTAGGTTTTAGATGATACATAAGTAAGTAATATTTATTTATTTACCGCCTTTTCACTGCAGATCTGAGTCTCAAAGTGGTTTACAATTGTTAATTTTTTGGGCATTTATCTCTCACTCCACACAGAGATGGGAGCGGGGTCGCCAGTACAGGAGGCACATGCCAGACCTATTGTACATGTTTTTAGTGGTAGGGGAAACCGGAGTACCCGGAGGAAACCTACGCAGACACGGGGAGAACATGCAAACTCCACTCAGAAAGGCCCTGATCCGACCGGGATTCGAACCCAGGACCTTCTTGCTGAGAGGCGACTCAGCAACCGTGCCGCCCCATGTATGTCACATGTAATTAACCTCATTGTGCGTTCATTTTTATGTTATTGTAAAATTAGGCGGCAACACAAACAACCAGCTTTACAACTTTATATTTCACAATGAACGGGAACTATTTTTTAGAGAATATGAAACTGAAAACTAATGTCATTCTGTGTGTGTGAGAAAACGAGCTGATTACTTTACTTTGGTATGCTCCTATCTTAAGAATAACACAAATATTATCAATGTTTTTGGTGGTTTGAACTTGACCCAATCCCGACTGCTTCTGCCCCAAATCCCTGCAGCTTTTATTAAATTGAGTTCACATTTCTCGTGGCTGTTGTGTCTTGGTGATGCTGTAATGTTTTCCTTCTGAGATGTTCTCATAAAATCCAGGCATATTTCTCTGATGTCTTCTGTAACGGAGCAGTCCCAGGGGATGATGACCTCAGCCCATTCTCTCACAGATGCTGCTCTTCTCTGACACGGTCTCTTCTCTTTCCAGTCTGTTTTCACTCACAAACGTGGCCTTTTCCCCCTTTTTCCTTTGCTTTGATCACTCGTCGTCCAATGTCCGTCGCTTGTTGTTGTGGGGGATTTTATATTTGTCATCTTCGTGCGTCTTTAGTGTCTTTTATAAAGAAAATGAACAATCAGCACAGTATTCCGAAAAATCCTTTTACAAATGACTCCCATCTGGACTCTCTGGATCTCACTGTCCCTTTATTTGAACAGGGACAGTGTTAGCCGAGTCTTATCACACCATGGTACTCATTTCATTTCATACTAAGGTCTGGATTGTCTCCATTGACTCCGTTAACAGGTGGGAGGGGCTAACTCCTTTTGCAGATTGAAACCATTGGATCTGAGTTTACTGTGACGTATGTAATGAGCCTGAGTGAGTGAGGCATTTAGCATTTAGCCTAGCTTTAGCATGTAGCCTAGCTTTATCCATCTCCTTTGCTGCTAACGGAGTCCGTGGGGAGTAGAGCCACAACATATTTGCTTCAATGACATTTACTAAACATTCCTCTTGCTCCGGCTTCAGTTTCTTGATATTTGGATTGAACCAGAACAGATTATTTTACTATCGCATTCTCCGACAAACTACAACCAGCAAATTCAGCACAAACTCTTGACGTCACCGACACCGACCTACAACACCCGCCTCCCCCGCTCTCTGATTGGTTGGAGGGGATTCAACCGCTATAATTGATAGCGGTTGATAACTGATGCTAATGTAGATTGATTAGACCTATGCTTGGTTTCTAGAGTCACACCACATTCTTCTGTCCATATTCAGTGTCTGTGTTTGTTTGTTTGCTGTTTGTTGTTTCCTATTTGTCACACCATATTTTAATGATAGACTCTCGGGCTGTAATTAGTAATATTTTGATAATCAATCACAGTAGTGCCTCGTTTATCGCGTGGGTTACGTTCTAAAAAGGACACACACACAGTAGCAGCTTAATGTTTTAAGGCTGTAATCCCCCTCTCCACACACAGGAGGCGCATGACAGAGCTATTGGATGTGTTTTTAGTGATAGGGGAAACCGGAGCACCGGAAGACACCTACGCAGGCACAGGGAGAACAAGCAAACACCACTCAGAAAGACACTGGATTGATCTGCAAATCTCAAACAGTTTATTACAACACAGAGTCTCATAACAAGCATCAGAAAAATATCTTAATTACCCCGAGTCTGCGCCGCTACAAAAGTCCGCGCCGGAATGTTCTTTAAGTGCAATGCTTGACTTAATTAGGCCTAACGCACAAAAGTTAATTAAAGCCAGTGATAAAAGCGTGCATTAGGGTTTGATTCACGCAGAGCCACAGGTCACAGTCCAGGACCTGTCACACAAAGACTCACCAGACACACATTTCATTTTCTGATCAAATGCAGTTTTTCTCCGGTTTTAAAAGAACCAGCTCCACATTCTCAGAGTTTGTCACGGCTCCAAAATTAGCCTCGTTTTAACACGTTTGCATAGAACTCGACACAGCCCCTAATTTTCAGATTTTCAGACTTTTCAGGGTTGTTAATGAGTCTGCCGTGGATCGGTCTTGGATTTTATTTGGATTATTTATTTGAAAACAAAATAGTTCAATCTTGGATCTAATCTACATTCACTCTCATTCCACATACTCCTGGTGACAAATAACAAATCATTTTGATTGTGAATGAAAACCTTTTCTTTGAAAAAGGTGTCCTGTACTGTCTCATTCTGTCCCAGGCCTGTACTGTCCCAGTCCTGTACTGTCCTGTTCTGTCCCATTCTGTCCCAGTCCTGTATTGATGACGGAGGACGTGGTGTCCCTGTGAGGCTGAGCCGAGCTCTGGGCCTGTGCCAGCAGCAGATCCTCTTTCTGCTCCTCTCAATGGCCTTATTTTTAGCCCGGCCTGGCTTCATTGGGCCTGGCTTCATTGGGTAGATAGATAACTCTTTGTTGCGTGTGTCTGGCAAAGCTCATTTTAGATTGGCATCGGGCACTTGGAAGTTGTGAGCTGTGGCTGTGGGATTATTGTTGATACGACTTCTGCTGCAGACCATGAACGTACACTAACAATATTGCTGACAATAGTCAGTGTAAAAACTGCCACATCCTCCTCTTTGCTAAATCAAATACTGGATATTACAGTAAAGGACTGCACACTCTGCAGAATGTTAAAGTCTGAAACCTAGACTTTTAAAACACATACTGTTCAGACATGACAGAGCTGCTTCCTGTCCCAAAGCCATCAACACACATCACTCGTTTAAAGGAGCAGTGTGTAAACATGTGGCCAAAAGTGGTACTGCAGCCTCTCCCACTCTCCCTGACTCAGGTTGCCAGATATGCAGACGAATCCAGCTGGGACCATAACAGCTGAATAGACAAGAGTTTTGTCAACAACCAATCTATAACCAACACCTTTTTCACAAAGATAGAAATCCTGGTTTTATTCCTTGTTTTGTCGTTAATGATTTGAGAATCATAACCAGACCTTTTTTAGTTCTGCGCACATGGTACTTTACCAGTGAGATTAGCTCCACATGGTACTTTACCAGTGAGATTAGCTCCACGCGGTGAGTTCTGGTGCCCGGATCACAGACTTTCTGATTGGTGAAACGGTGGAGGGCGGGACATCGAAATGAAAACAATAACAAGATTTAGAGGCTGGAAAAGTAATTTAGAAATTCAAATATCTCTGAACGACTTATCAGTTAAAGAAGTATTGGAAAAGAACAGTTTATTATTATGACAGATTAGGGCCCTTTAATGATGACAGATTAGGGCCCTTTAATGATGACAGATTAGGGCCCTTTAATGATGACGGATTAGGGCCCTTTAATGATGACAGATTAGGACCCTTTAATGATGACAGATTAGGGCCCTATAATGATGACAGATTAATGCCCTTTAATGATGACAGATTAGGGCCCTTTAATGATAGATTAGAGCCCTTTAATGATAGATTAGGGCCCTTAAATGGTGACAGATTGGGGCCCTTTAATGACAGATTAGGGCCCTTTAATAACGACAGATTAGGGCCCTTTAATGACGACAGATTAAGGACCTTTAATGATGACAGATTAGGGCCCTTTAATGACGACAGATTAGGGCCCTTTAATGACGACAGATTAGGGACCTTTAATGATGACAGATTATGGCCCTTTAATGATGACAGATTAGGGCCCTTTAATGACAGATTAGGGACCTTTAATGATGACAGATTATGGCCCTTTAATGATGACAGATTAGGGCCCTTTAATGATGACAGATTAGGGCCCTTTAATGACGACAGATTAAGGACCTTTAATGATGACAGATTAGGGCCCTTTAATGATGACAGATTAGGGACCTTTAATGATGACAGATTATGGCCCTTTTAATGATGACAGATTAGGGCCCTTTAATGATGACAGATTAGGGCCCTTTAATGACGACAGATTAAGGACCTTTAATGATGACAGATTAGGGCCCTTTAATGATGACAGATTAGGGTCCTTTAATGACGACAGATTAGGGACCTTTAATGACGACAGATTAGGGCCCTTTAATGATGACAGATTAGGGCCCTTTAATGACGACAGATTAGGGCCCTTTAATGACGACAGATTTGGGCCCTTTAATGATGACAGATTAGGGCCCTTTAATGACGACAGATTAGGGCCCTTTAATGACGACAGATTAGGGCCCTTTAATGA